AGTTTAAAGAAAAATTCCCTGTAAGGCTCTCAATGGTTTCCTCTCCTGTATAGCAGTCCATGTTGATTCTTCCTACCAGTATTACCGTCAGCAGGGCTGCTGACTAGTCTGAACCCAGAGAAACTGGCAGTCACATAGTCAGCACACAATAAAGGATAAGAAAGAACAGTGGTAGGGCCGGCACGGTGGCGCAATAGGATGAGGCTCTGCCTGCAGCACCAGCATCCAATATGGATGCCGGTTCTAGTCCCAGCTGCTCCTCTTCCAATAAAGCTCTCTGCTGTGGCTGGGAGGGCAGTGGAAGATGGCCCAAGTCCTTGGGCCCCTGCACTCATGTGGAAGACAGGGAAGAGGCACCTGGCTCCTGGCTTCGGATCGGCACAGCTCCGGCCATTGCAGCCATTTGGAGAGTGAACCAATGGAGGGAGGACCTTTCTCTCTGTCTCTCCCTCTCACTGTCTGTAACTCTACCTCTCAAATAAACAAATTAAATATTTAAAAAATTAAAAAATAAACATTATCCACAAACTTTCTGAAGAACCTCAGTAAACCCCCCAGAGATTTGAGTGCAGGATGCTTGGGCCAATTCAGCTGTGTTTTGAACATCACTCTTCCTTCCCATAACCTCTATGAAGGCAGGTGCTATTGGCCAGATGTGACAATCAAGTGCACCAAACACAACATCATTCTTCTCAGAAGCCTGCCAACTAGTTGTTTTTTTTTTTTTTTTTTAAGATTTATTTACTTGCAAGTCAGAGTTACACAGAAAGAAAGAGAGGGAGAGAAAGAAAGAGAGAGGTCTTCCATCCACCAGTTCACTCTCCAGATGGCCACAATAGCCACAGCTGAGCCAGGCTGAAGGCAAGAGCCAGAAGCTCCATCCAGATTTCCCACGAGAGTGGCAGGGGCCCAGGCACTTGGACCATCTTCTGTTGTTTTTCCCAGACCATTAGCAAGGATCTGGATCGAAAATGGAGCAGGTGGGACACAAACTGGCACTCATACAGGATACCAGTCAGCTTCCCAACTAATATTTTTAACCGTGTAATTGGCCATAGCTGGCATAGAGGCCAAGCCTGGACTCCCAGTTTTTGTTGCTCAACCCTGTAAATCATTTATTGGAATATCAAAACATAGATTTCTTTTTTTTTAAGATTTACTTTACTTATTTAGAGCAAGAGGGGCCAGTACTATGGCATAATGGGTAAAGCTGCTGCCTACAGTGCCAGCATCCCATATGGGCGCTGTTTCAAGTCCCAGTTGTTCCACTTCGATCCAGCTCTCTGCTGTGGCCTGGGAAAACAGCAGAGGCCCAAGTCCTTGGGCCCCTGCACCAGCGTGGGAGACCCAGAAGAAGCTCCTAGTTCCTGGCTTTGGCTCGGTCCAGCTCCGGCCTTTGCAGCCATTTGGGGAGTGAATCAGCAGGTGGAAGATCTCTGTCTCTCTGCCTCTGCCTCTGCCTCTCCCTTGCTGTAACTCTGCCTTTCAAATATATAAATAAATCTTTTTTTTTTGATAGGTAGAGTGGACAGTGAGAGAGAGAGACAGACAGAAAGGTCTTCCTTTGCCATTGGTTCACCCTCCAATGGCTGCCTCAGCCAGTGCGCTGCAGCTGGTGCACCGCACTGATCCGAAGCCAGGAGCCAGGTACTTCTCCTGGTCTCCCATGGGGTGCAGGGCCCAAGGACCTGGGCCATCCTCCACTGCACTCCCTGGCCACAGCAGAGAGCTGGCCTGGAAGAGGGGCAACCAGGATAGAATCCAGCGCCCCGGCTGGGACTAGAACCCGGTGTGCCGGCGCTGCAGGCGGAGGATTAGCCTAGTGAGCTGCGGTGCCAGCCCAAATATATAAATAAATCTTTAGGGGCCGGCACTGTGGCGCAGCAGGTTAATGCCCTGGCCTAAAGCGCTGGCATCCCATATGGGTGCCAGTTCAAGTCCCAGCTGCTCCACTTCTGATCCAGCTCTGCTATGGCCTGGGAAAGCAGTAGAGGATGGCCCAAGTGCTTGGGCCCCTGCACCCGCGTGGGAGACCCGGAAGAAGCTCCTGGCTCCTGGCTTCAAATTGGCGCAGCTCCGGCCGTTGCGGCCAATTGGGTAGTAAACCACCAGATGGAAGACCTCTCTCTCTGCCTCTTCTCTCTCTGTATAACTCTGACTTTCAAATAAATAAATAAATCTTTTAAAAAAATCTTAAAAAAAAAGCAGAGCAAGAGAGAGAAAGAGGGTCAGAGACAAACAGAGAGAGACAAATAGACAGAGACAGAGACATCTTCCATCAGCAGGTTCACTGCCCAGATGGCTGCAATGCCCCAGGCTGTGACAGGCAGAAGCCAGGAGCAGAAGCTTAATCTGGGTCTCCCACGTGGGTAGCAGGACTCCAAATACTTGGGCCATCACCTACTGTTGTTTCCCAGGCATTTAGCAGGGAGCTGCATTGAAAACCGAGCAGCCAGGACTCGAACCAGTGCTCCTATAGGATGCCAGTGCCACAGGCAGTGGCTTAACCTGCTGCACAACCCTGGCTCCCAAAACTTGGGTTTCTGACAGAAGGGACTGTAGACAACAAGAGCTGACACCCAACATTCCAGAACTTGAGATGGTCCCTGTTGTTGGGATACACGTTCCTGGTGTGCCTGTTCCAGGTTGTTGTCCCACGAGGAAAGAATTCAAAGCAAGGACTTCGGTAAAATGTATTAAAGGCAGCAGGATTGTTGCAAAGTCAAGGTGAGTTCACCTTCAGCCATCAATGTGGGTAACCTCACGAGGAAAGACACTCACCATGAGAGGGCCAGAAAGAGAAAAGTGGAATCAGAGGAATCAGAGAGAGCTCCCTCGGTTTAGTGGACCCCCTTTATGGGGTATAGCCTGGTGCCCTCATCTAATATTTAAATGGGATGGGGTTTGGGCAGGGTGTAATACACATGATGACCCCTGGCAACATTTTGTGGGGTCTCCACGTGGAGCTCAGTGTACACATGCTCCTCGGGGCATATTCATGGTGCTGGGGGACACTTGGGTGCGTCCCTGGAAAGTAGGTGTGCTGGACTGGCACGCAAGGGGAGTAGAGTTAGGATGCCGGGCTAGAGATGGAAACTGCAGAAACTTCTAGCCCTTTTATCCCGACGGCTTGCCTGGCCCACATCAGTCCCCTCACCTCACTTCATTCTCCCAGATACACCTAGAGCTACAGCTCTCGCACCACTGACCTGAGCCTTATTTCTTCAGCTGCAATAACCCCTTCTCCCACTGCTGTTGCCTTTCTCTTATGGCAAGCTCTGTTGGGAAAGACAGGTGACAGTTTTATCCCAGGCGTGGAGAGAAAGCAGCAGACACTTCCTGCTGTGGGCATGCAGGTAACAGCGGCTCAGGGTCAGGGCTGTGAGAGTCAGGGTCTTATCCTTCTGCCTCTGAGCCTGGGAAGTACCTGGCTCAGATCCAAGGCAGTAACGGGAGGTTCTGCCACTGGGTGGTGGTGAGCCAAGCCATGTTAACAAAGCACTCAGACTGAGCTGTGCACTGATGACTCAGGAATCCCACACGATCCCACGCCCATGCTAGTCGCCATTTTCAGAAATTAAAATAGACTCCTGGTACTAAGAGACAGCAGGCCCTTAGGTCTGCTCAGAGACAATGAGCCCAGTCCTAAGAACTGGCACGCCAGGCGATACAAAGGAATGGTACACAGCCATTAAAGACGGCAATCATGTGCACTGTGTGGGTGCAAACGGGAATGTGAAATAATGTTAAGTGAAACCCGCAGAAGCAGAAGGAGCAGGCACACCTGCTGATCACAACTATGAAGAACACACAAAAAAGGGTGCATCGCTGAAGAACTTCTGAGAACAAAGAACAGCACAGTGCTTTTAAATTGCACATCCCTCCCAACATGTTTTAATAATACATGTTTTTTAAATTACCATGCTGCTCATACTATGTGACAGAGGCACCTGCCTTTTAGCTGCCACAGGACATAACCCCACAAATCACCAGATACCAGGACTAGAGAACAGGACACAGAGGAGGCTGTTGCTTTAACTTGGGCCAGAATGTCCTGTTTCCCTGCCCTTTGTGTTCTGGGCACCCTACTGGAACCCAATTACCATTCTAGGTTTAATGCCACAGTGAGAAGAAGCTCCTTCCAAACCCTAGGCTGAACAAACAACATGAACATACTAGTTTAGGAAAACAGATTTCAATGTCCTTTAAGTCAGTCTGGCTGCTGTGTTTTGAACTCAGCTCACTTACACTGAAAGGTACTTTTTTTTTTTATTTTTGGATAGGTTGCTAGAAGTTTCTCTGCAAAGAATCCCTACATGCTACCCCTCTTAGCACTTTGTCATGGATACTACATAGTTAGTCAAACACACCTTCATATCTGGGTGTCTTGGTAAGTAAAATTCTTGCCCTTGAGCCCTGGCCTCAACACCTACCTAGACATGGCTTTTCTTTTTTTTCTAAATATTTATTTATTTGAAAGGCAGAGTCAGAGAGAGAGACACACACACCCAGAGATCTTCTGTCTGCTGGTTCCTTCCCCAGATGGCTACAAAAGCCAGTGCTGGGCCAGGCCAAAGACAGGAACCAAGAGCTGCTACATGGGTAGCAGGGGCACAAGCCCTTGGATCATCTTCCACTGCTTTTCCCAGACCATTAGCAGGGAGCTGGATGAGAAGTGAAGCAGCTGGGACATGAACCAGCACCCAGATGGGATGCTGGGATTGCAAGCAGTAGCTTTCCTTGGGATGTTACAGCGTCAGCCCCAATACAGTTTTTCTAGAATTAGCTTTTAGTCAGTATGTTTAGTTTTGAAAATACTATACTTTGGGTTTTTTTGATTGGCATTTTGAACTGATTTGAGATTTACTGAAGAACTGTAAATAGAGTAGAGTTTATATATACCCTTCACCCAGCCTCCTCTAATGCTAACAACTTAACTACCTCTGGCACATTGGTCAAAACTACCCTGTTGGCTTCCCAGACATCAGACTTCACTGAAGATGGACAGCCAGATTCCTTATGCTGACTACCTAGTGGTTCTCCTGCCTGCCTATGAGAATCCCCCAGCATGGAGTCACCTCACCAGAGAGTACACCACCCAGCTACAACAATGAGCTGACCCAGTTTCTGCCCCGAATCGTCACACTGAGGAAGCCTCCTGGAGTGGGGCTGGGATTTAACATCCGAGGAGGAGAGGCCTCACAGCCAGGCATCTTCATCTGCAAGGTGATTCCTGACTCCGACGCACGTCAAGCAGGACTTCAGGATGCCGACCGAGTACTAGCTATGGATAACGTGCATTTGCAAGCTACTGAGCACAGCAAGGCTGTGGAGATACTGAAGACAGCCCGTGAAATCAGTGCCTGTGTCATCGCCAAAAAGAGAGTACTGTGCACTACAGAGTTGCATCCCACAGCCCTCCATGAGGAACCTGGCAGGATGAGCTGGCCAGGCCCAAAGGAAGTCACCTGAGACATTCTCTCAGCCCCTCCCTGGCAGAGTGGAGTGGGGACACGCAGACAGCTAGCCAACTGTCACTCAAACTGCACCGGACTTTTACTACCCTAGTATGCTAGGTGAGCTTCATACACTTGAGAGACTCCCAGGAGACACTTGCCCTTCCTCTTCCTGTTCTTGCAAAAAAAAAAAAAGTGGAAAGCAAAATACTATCCCATTAACATTAGTATAACGCTACTCACTAAACTGTAGACATCATTCAGACTTCACTACCTTTCCCACTGATGTCCTTTTTCTGCTTAGGATCTAATGCAGGATTCCACACAGCACTTACGTCTGCTTACTTTTTGAAAAACCCACCCCTAGAACCAAGTTTCCTCTGAGGAAGTCAAAAGGGCAAGCTAGCAGGTGTTCTGAGCCATCAGCGAACCTGAGTTCTTTCCTCCTGAAGGGAACTCCATCGCTTCTATACCAAAGCCCTTGATCCATGACATCTCGTCACAGCTATTTTCAGAAAACATGTCTGACATTAGCACTACTCACAGGAGAACAAAGGGATTTGACAAGTGCGTTATTTTTAGCAACCAATATTATGAGGGTGAGAAAATAAGAGGGCTGGCCTTCCCTGTTTTCTATGCTTCATTTTTCTTCGAAATGCATTTAAACTTTTCACTAGAAGTTGTAACACTGGAGTAGAACATAAATGCTGAGAAACACCCACACAAACAGGGAAGGGACTCTTTCCAATGTCTGTTTGGCTTTGTTTGCCTAAAATTAAGTACCAGGGCTGGTGTTGTAGCACAGCAGGTTAAGCTACCATTTGCAAGGCCAGCATTCCTTATTGGAGTGCTGCTGCAAGTTCTAGCTGCTCCACTTCCAACCCAGCTCCTTAGGAAAGACCCTGGGAAGGCAACAGAATATGGCCCAAATACTTGGAGCCAACTGCCACCCATATGGGAGACCCAGAAGAAGCTCCTGGCTCTTGGCTTCGGCCTGGCCCAGCCACAGTTGTTGCGGCCATTTGGGGAGTGAACCATGGGATGGAAGATCTCTCTCTGTAAGTCTACTTCTCAAATAAATAAATCTTTAAAAATAAATAAATAAAATTAAGTACCAGCTAATGAGGGTGGGACTCAGGATTTTTTGACTTCATATAGTGTGAAAATGATATACATTCAGCAGAAACTGTACTCTGAATTCTGAATTTTGGTCTTTTCCTGGGCTGGCAGTACGGAGTCTGATTCTGTCTCATGGTACTAGCCAGTGATTCATGTGATCATAAGGGTGAACAACCAAGACCCTACGGTGTGCTGTTTCCAAGCAAAGATGTTCACTAGGTGAGGTGTTTCAGATACATTTTTTAAAGATTTATTTATTTATTTGAAAGGCAGAGTGACAGAGATAGCTTTTATCTGCTGATTCACTCCCCAAATGGCCACAACAGCTAGGACTAGGCTGGGTAGGACTCAGGAGCCAGGAATCTATCTGGGTCTCCCAGCCAGGTGGTAGCAGCCCAAGTACTTGAACCATCCTTCATTAGCAAGGAGTGGGACCAGAAGGGAGCAGCTGAGACTTGAACAAGTGCTCTGATATAGGATGCTGGCATTGTAGGTGGCAGCTTAACCCACTGCACCAAAACACCAACCCCTCAAACACATTTTTGACTTATGATATTTTCAAGTTACCATTGGTTTATCAGGACCTAACCTCAATGTAAGTTAACGAACATCTGTACCACCATTCCCCTTATTTTATGAGGACAGGGTGACAAAGTGTTGGAGAGAATAAGTTGCCTGATGTCACACAGCATGTAAGTGATGGAGACAGGATTCAAGCTCAGGTCGTCTGATCCCAAAGCCACTCCTCTTGCCCAGGATACTATATTGCCTCCCTGAGCACCTGCCACATGTCAGACACTCCTAGGTGTGAGAGGTACAACAGCAACCAAGGTATAGCCCTAAGTTTCTCAAATCTTACAGCCTATTGGAGGAAATAACAAAGTATAATATCACTCTCTCTTCTTCTCAGCTATCTCTTGGCTTGGTTACAAGTAAAGGTAATCAGAGAATGCAAATATCCCTGGGGCATTTCAATGTGCAGATAAGTTTGGAGCCAGAGACCTAATGAGGATCATAACTCAGGCTACAGAGTTGAATCACCTTGGGGATCTTTTAAAAATCCAGATATTCGGGAGCCGGCACTGTGGCGCAGCAGGTGTGGCTACCGCCTGCAGTGCCGGCATCCTGTATGGGCCCTGCTTCAAGTCCCGGCTGCTCCACTTCCAATATGGCTCTCTGCTGTGGCCTAGGAAGGCAGCGAAGGATGGCCCGGGTCCTTCGGCTCCTGCACCAATATAGGAGACCCTGAAGAGGCTCCTGGCTCCTGGCTTCGGATCAGGGCAGCTCCGGCAATACGTATGACAAGCCCCACTTTCAGCACACCCACCAAAATAACCGCAGGGGTGGCGGGAAAGGAAGTGCTTTCCAGGATGAAAACCTTTGCAAAGGACTGCAAATCAACGCTCCAAACACCTGGGAAGGTCCAGGCGAGGAGGAAGTAGAAAAGCAAGCTACATGTCATACGTATTGCCTAGCTAGTTAATTTCTATGTAATACTCAATGTGTGCGCTTTGACTCATTATGTCAACTCCTGGGCTTGGAGACGAAAATTCTAGACAGGGGCTGGCGCTGTGGCGCAGCAGATTAACGCCCTGGCCTGAGGCGCTGGCATCCCATATGGGCACCGGTTCTAGTCCCAGCTGCTCCTCTTCAGATCCATCTCTCTGCTGTGGCCTGGGAAAGCAGTAGAAGATGGCCCAAGTCCTTGGGCCTCTGCATCCGCGTGGCAGACCTGGAAGAAGCTCCTGGCTCCTGGTTTCGGATCGGCGCAGCTCCAGCCTTTGCGGCCATCTGGGAGTGGACCACTGGATGGAAGACCTCTCTGTCTGTCTCTACCTCTCTCTGTAACTCTTTCAAATAAATAAATAAATCTTAAAAAAAAAAACCCCTAGACAGTAATTCTCACCCCAGGAATTCTATCAGAGTCATGTGGAAAGCTTGGAATATGATGATGCCAGGGCCACACCCACAACAAATCAAATCAGAATCTCCGAGGAGACAATCCCATGATCCTGCTTTTAAAAGGCCCTGGGGCGGGGGGGGGGGGGGGGGCTAGTGCTGTGGCATAGCAGGTTAAGCCTCTGCCTATGGCACCGGCATCCCATATGGGCACCAGTTCAAGTCCCAGCTGCTCCACTTTTGATCCTGCTCCCTGCTATGGCCTGGGAAAGTAGTAGAACATGGCCCAAGTCCTTGGGCTCCTGCACTTGCATAGGAGACCTGGAAGAAGCTCATAGCCATTTGGGCAATAAACTAGCTAGCTCTCTACTCTTTCTCTCCAACCACCCACCCTTGTCTAACTCTGCCTCTCAAATAAATAAGTCTTAAAAAAAAAAAAAGGTCCTCAAGTGTTCTAACTAACGTGCAGTCAGTGGCTCCCAAACTTGAATATGCATCAGAATCACCTATAGGACATGATAAGCAGACTGCTGAGCCCTACACTCAATGTTCCTAATTCACATGGCATGGAGCCTGTACGCTTGGAGTTTTTAAAAATTAATTTATTTATTTGAAAGGCAGAGTTACAGAGAGAGGGGGGGAGAGACAGAGATCTTGTATCTACTGGTTCACTCCCCAAAGGGTGGCATCAGCCAGGGCTGGGCCAGGCCAAAGCAAGGAGCCAGGAGCTTCTTCCATGTCTCCCATGTGGTGCAGGGGATCAAGTACTTGGTACCTCTTCTGCTGCTTTTCCCAGCTGGACTGAAGCAGTTAGGACTTGAGCCAGCACCCATATAGGATGCTGGTGGCTGCAGGCAGCAGTTTAACTCACCACACCACAATGCCAGCCCTGCAAATTTGGATTTCTAAGAAGCACCTGAGTGCTTGGCTCAGGGCTACACCTTGCTGCTGCTGCTGGTCCAAAACTAGACTTGGGTAGGTAAAGCTTGACCTAGGCCACTGGTTCTTCACTTAGGCTGCACATTAGAATCATTGGGGGGGTATTAAAAATACTGATGCCTGAGCACTTCCCTAAACCAATTAAATTAAAATGTATGGGGTCCAAGCATTGGCATTTTTTAATTGCTTTCCAGATGATACTAATGTCAAGTTTGTGATCCACTGCCATAGACCCACACACACATTTTACAGCTAGAAGAGATCATTTAAATAGAAATTCTTAACTATCCTGGGAATCTACAGCTACCTCAGTTACTACTGATCTCCATATCCCGACTCCAATTTCCATGATTCTTCCTCAATCTTTACTGTGTAGTAACAATGTGATCAATTTAGGGTGACCAACTTGTCCCAGTTTGCCTAAGATGTTCCCAGTTATTAGCACTGGAAAATTCCAAGCCTCAGGAAAATCAGGACAGTTGGTCACTATACAAATGTTTTGTAGCTCATAGACTAGAATACAGTACACTCATAGATTGTGCTTCTAACACCCAACTTCCAGATTTTGGTTTCTAAACACCATTCTGCATTAAAAGAAACCAGAGCTCATTGGATATGGCTGATTCCAGGACTGGGGAAAGGAAAATGTAGGGTGAGTCTCGGAATCCCGTGCCAGAATCTAAGAAAGTGCTTGAAGATTAAGAGAGCTGTATGTAAAAGACATGGGAACGAGTCTGACTCCTGCCTGCGAAACTGGGGAAAATCTGAGCATCTAAAATAACTGAACAATGGAAAACACTGAATTCAAATAAGAAAAAACACTGAATCAAGTGACATTAAAGAATAAAAAAACACTCCTTTGCCACCACTGAAAATAACTATTACTTCAACTTCTTGCTCAGAAAATTGAGTTTCTGGAGTTCACACCCTACAGATAAGGCAAAGTTCACCACTACCACTACAGAAGAATGGCAGCTAATAAACGCAGATTGAATGACAGAATCAGGAAATCATTACTTTGCAATCCCTAATTAAAGGACTGACTGATGAGTTAGAAAA